GCAGGTCGGTGGGGTGGGTGTGAATGTGTGTGCGGGTGTGTGGGTGTCCGGTTGGGGTCCAAACTCTGAATCCTCCGGGTCTTTCTCTTCAGCTGCAGAACTCAAAGACGGTCATCCAGTCCAAGGACGCCGTCATTCACGAGCTCAAGGAGCGGGTGGCCTACCTGGAGGCCGAGGTGAGGAAGGGGGCGGCCGGGGGTGGGTGGGCTGTCCATCAGCTTGCACGGGCAGCTCTCCAGGGTGCTGCGTGCCTGGAACAGTGAGGACTAGAACCTTTTCTAAGGGGAAGGGCATAGCGTTGGACCATCCTCCTCTTCTCCCACCACCCACCCCAAAATCCAGGCTGGTGGGCGTTTTAGACAGCTGTGCTCCGCTGCCCCCTGGTGGAGTATTAGGGAACTGCTGGAATCTAGACACACACACATAGTCCCTTAAGAAAAGTTGTGTGAGTCAGAAAATGTGCTTGTGTGTGTGTTGGGGCAGGGGGAGTGCCTATTCCTGGTGGATTGAGCCCAGATTTTGGTGTCTGATGCAGGTGGGAACTTTTGTACAGCACATTAGGCCCCTTGCCAAGACCGTGACATCGATAAGGAGAGAGGAAGGAGGAAAAGGAGAAGGAGGGAGGCAGGAAGGAAGGAGAGGAGGAGGGGGAGAAAGAGCGAGGGAAGGAGGAGAAAGAGGAGAGGAGGAGGGGGAGGAATCAGTTGCAACTCGGTTCCACCTTTGCTTCGCTTCCCGGGGCAAGGAATGTCTCCCTAAAATCCCCCCTTTTTTTTCCTGCATGGAAGAACCTGGAAATGCACGACCGCATGGAGCACCTGATCGAAAAGCAGGCCAACCCCGGCTCCTTCCACGCCCGCACCCGGTCCAAATCGGAGACGGTCAGCGGGTGAGCTTGCCGGGCAGGGGGAGACGGATGCGGCTGGCCTGAAGGTGGCCCACAGCCTCCCCTGCCCTTGGGGACCAGCCGGGGGGGGGGTTTTTCTGGTTGGGGCCAGGGGATGGGGAGAGGGTGTCTTCTTCCGGCTCAGAGAGTTGGGGTTCTCCTGCAGACGTTTCACGACCCAGCTAGGGAACCCCATCAGGGCGAGGGAGGGGTTAGGGTGGGCTGCCTAGGCAAGCAAACCACATGCTTCCTTGCTCTGATGTGATTGCCTAGCTGGGTCACGAAACGTCTGCAGGAGAACCCAAAGGAAACGTTTCAGGAAAAGAAGCTCGGAGAGCACCAAGACCCTCAGAGACCCCCTCCCCTTTCTACGACCAGCTTTTTTTCTATCTGTTTCTCCTCCTTCCCCCTCTCCCTTCTTCCCTCCTTTTCCTCCCTCCCTCCCCTTCTCCAATTCTTCCTTGCTCCCTCCATTTCCTTCCTTCCTCTCTCCCTCCCTTTTTAATTTTCTTCCTCTGCATTCCTTCCCTTTCTTTTTTCCTTCCTTCCTTCCTTCCTTCCTTCCTTCCTTCCTTCCTTCCTTCCTTCCTTCCTTCCTTCCTTCATTCATTCATTCATTCATTCATTCATTCCTTCCTTCCCTCCTCATTCATTTCTTTTCCTCCAGCAAAAGGTTCACCAAGCCGTTGGGACCGAAACCTTTGCCCCTGATCCGAGTCTTGGAAACATGAGCAGGGGATTGGCGACTCCGTCTGGGGAGAAAGACCTGCTGGATGTGGGCTGCCGCCTCTCGTTGATCGCTTCGTTTCCCCCCAAGTTCCTCGCCCCCTCCTGTGCCAAGGGAGGGTGTTGGCACGAACTGGAAGGCCTCCCCAGGCCCTAAAAGCCGGGAATTTTAATCGGGTCGAGGAGGAGGAGGAGGAAGAGGAAATGTGTGACTGTAGAAGAAAGTGGAGCGAGTGGATAGCGGGTTACGTGAGAAACGGACAGTGCCTTTTGAACTGCCAGACCACCCACCCCAATTTCACGGCTTGGTTCTCGTGCAAACTTATTTTGGGGCAGAGAGGGAGAAGAAGGGAAAGGTGCACTGGCGGCTCTTGATTTGAAAATTGGCTTTTTTTCTCTCTCTGCCTTTTGAGCACGAGGCGCTTCCCACTTCCTCCTTCTGTCGTGGAGAAGGCCCCGTGCGCCCCCCCTCCCTCTCCCCAGAATAAAAGGAACCAAGCTAGATCCCTGTTTGCCTAGGGACCCTCGACTCCTGTAATTTAATCTTAGCACCCTTTTGTGTGTCTGTACATACCTGTCTGTGAAATAAATGCGAAAATGGTGTTTAAAGCAGCGTTTCGTTCTTTCTTGCACGGTCTCGCAAATCCCAAGTCGTAGCAAAAAAGAGAAGAGTTGCCGTTTTTGTTTTCAGAGAGAGACCCGTTTCCAAAAATGCTGCTCCGTTCAAGCCTTGATAAAGGGGTAAACACACATTAATAATCCCCTCAAATGCTGCTGTTGAACCACGTTTAAAGGTCAGCCAACTTAGTGATTCCGGGAAACGTGTTTCCTCAGCACCCTAAAGCCGGTTTAGCATTAACGTGGTTCGTTCTTTTGCGTGGGATAAATCCGGCCCCAACGGAGGAGTCAAAAGATTTCCTTGTATTCCAGAACCTTGTTTGTTCTGTAACCAGGTTTGACTGCAGCTCCTGGAGCCTGTTTTGGCATGGCTACAATTCTGTGTTCCGTTTTTGGCTGGATCAAGATGGGTTTTTGGGCTCCGGTCCAGTCAGAAACAGATTCAGATTGGGAGCCTTTGCAAACAAAGCTCAGACGATGCAGGGGGTTGGACTAGATGACCTTCTTAGGTCCCTTCCGTTAATTCTTTTTATAATGATCATTTATTGTGCTGGAATGGCACCCGGCTCCTAACGGGTGGCTCAAAGCAATCCTACCCATGTTCCTTAGCAGAAAAGGGGTTGGGTTTTTTAAAAAAAAAATTGCTTGGGGAATTCTGGGAGTTGAAGTCCACCCATCTTAAAAGTTGCCAAGGTTGAGAACCTGCCTTTTTTAGATAGATAGATAAAACAACCTTTATTGTTATTTTTTTTTACTGTGGGCACATTGGCACACATTAAAAATGAAATTGAGTTGGTCGTTCTCAAAGCACACACATGCACGACACGCATTTAAACATGCTACATACAACACGCTATATAAACCTACACCCTTGTAAATAACATAACAAATATTTTAGCATAAACATCCGGATTATAGGAGGGAAAACTCGGCTGAGGGCTTCAAAAGCAAACCCCCCAAAGTTTTTTTTTGAGGGGGGGACTTTGGGGATCCACTTTCCCACCCAGGCTGCAACTGCCAAAGCCGCCATCAAGGGCCGCCCTGCAAGCAGGGCTTTGCAGGAGTCCAGCCTCAAAAGCTTTGGCAGCCGGGGCGTCGGGGGCTGTGCAACGAGGCACCGCTGGCCGTTGTCCTCCGCAGACCCCCAGGCTTCCCCCCGTCCTCCTCCCCAAGTCAGGGAAGGGAATGAAAAATCCCAACGCTCTGTGTGTGTCTGTGTGTATATAGCTGTTTTTCCAGGTTGGTCATCCGGCGGGCTCAAAGACCCGCGCGGACACCACTCCCGCCCCAAGAGGCGCCTGCGCGCTGGCGCCCTGCTCTGCGGCGGCCGAGCGGCGGCGGCGCGCATGCGCCCCGGGGCGGGGCGGGCCAG